CGATCCCTATGATAAATGAAAGAAGAAAGGTAGATCTTCTCCCCCAAGATCCAGATTTCGATGAGAGGCGGGACATGACTGGCCCAATAACAGCGAGTAGGTAACTGTAATCCACTGTAATCACTAATTCCATTAATTTTTGCAAAAAGCTATGACTTAGACATCCCCGTGGGGAAATGATTTTCTGCCTTGAATCGAAAAATAATTAATTAATAATATTCTATATTTAAAACAAGATCCAAAACGGAGTTCCGAAAATGTGTAAAAGTCTCCGTGTGAAATTCAATCAAACCCTTGTAATATTTAAGATAAGCTAGAAATCGGTTTTGAGCTTCATTGCTTCATTTTTAAGACATTTCCTTTAGTATGAAAGATCCAAAAGTTAGGTGGGAGAACGGACTAAATTCGACTGAGTGTCTACAATTTTGTGTTTACGAGCTACGCCTCTAAAATTCCCACAATTTGTCTCTAATTCCTTTCAACAAAAATAAAAGGTATAAATAATGTCCTTTTAGATTTTGTAAAAATGTTCATAGTGCCCTATTTTCGTTAAGACTGCAGTATATCTTTGCTGTTTTTATTGCTGTTGAAGATAAAGACTTGTGAAAGTGTAAAAGGAAAAGTTTGACTTTTGGCGATGTAATCATATCTCATTTAAGGTAGACAATAAGTAAAAGTGCCTATTTTAGATATATTTGCGTAGAAACTAGTGTAGCAAAAAACAAATTTTTACTGTTTTTAATTAGTAAGCCATGTATTTATGGAGATTTTGTTGGTTTATTGTATCCATGTATCGAGGCAAAAATTTTTTTTTCAAAATTTAAAGAAAGATCCATGGCCTACTACTTAAAAACCTTAAAAAATTTTATTTTTTATTGTATTTTTGGATTCTGCGTGGAATTTCGGGTCTTTTGATACCCACATGAAACATTTACAGAAGTCAAAGGAAGCAATACAACATCTATACATTAAATTCATTAATAGTATAAAATGCGGCGTCAGTAAAGGATTTTTAAAATCTAGTTTTCAAGGTATATTGTACGGTAAATATTTACAAAACTCCTGTGAGTTTTTTCTAATCTATAATGCTTTTAAGTCAAGATTACTACAATTTCGTGTGTTATATCTATGTATATCGGACCTTAAACAAAGTTCATTGCACGAATCTTAGCATATAGAATACAGTGTATACAAGGAAATTTCAACAATCTAAATCTAACAAACACATGTTTGCAATCTTCAATTCTTCTTCTTTGCAATATCGAAAAATGTCAATTTTGATTCACTATAAAATCTAAAGTAACAAAATGGTCATTTCATTTAACAAAACTGAGTTTTTAGGCTTTGAGATATCTTAACTTTGGTTCTCTATAGGTGTGGTCGTACACAATTTAAATTTTTTTAAGTACACTAAAAGAAAGCCCTGTTATTTCTCTATGAACTGATAAAAATGGGTTGCCATAAAAATGCAATAAAAAATAGGAGTTGCCATTTAAAATAACTAAGTTACTAGCTCCTTCCGGTATTTTATGTATCGTTTAGTTTGCCATGTAGCTTAGGGCCGGCTTTAGGACGAAAATTTAACATTTTAATGACATGGATCGAGATAAACATCTAACATTAATATATACTTCCAAAAATATTTAATTACTGCGATTGTGTCTATAACAACATAGGGACAAATGCCTCTAATTTGATGTGGCACCCACGTGCCATTTAAAATCCTTGAGAATGAGAGGGTTGCTGTGACACTCACAGGGGTGGAGTTTTGGAGTGTATTTTATATGATCCTTACACCTTAACAACTTCAAACCTACGGTCTATCTTCCGCAGTTTCAATTGTAACACGTAAAATCCTGTTTTTTTCCCGTTCGGAAAATCCTTTTTTAGTGCTCCCAAGGAACCTACATACCAAGTTTCAGCTTTCTACACCCAGTCATTTTGACATAACTGAAGAGTTTTACATACAGGATCCGGCAACAGTGCGTCGGCCTTCCTAGCTCACATCAAAAATATAAAAAACCGTGTGTGCAATTGTCAACTGCCCCACTTTGACTTTGATGAATCCTAGCGACCGTGTTTTTTGAATGTAAGAAATACCTTTGAGCAATAATTTTAATCCGAGTAAGGGCTACACTTTGATAATTAAAAAGTTGGATCTAGTAACACCGTAAAAATACGACACCCTCTACATACATACAATAATTTCTATAGATGCCCGGCCATTTATAGTTGACATTTACACACGCGGTTTTTTATATTGTGTCCCGTGCATCGACATCCCCTGTACTGATGGGTAGCGAGATTAAGAAGGACAGTATTAGTGTAATCCTAAAGGTATCAGAAAACCGAATGTACATTTAATCAATCGTTAAGCAGTACTAAAGGGCACTGCTGTTTGGTTATACCCTGTTGATACCTTAAAGGTATAAAAAGAACTGGTTGTGTATATATTCAGTACCCAAGGTGTACTAAGTACTACTGTTGTATATTAATGTGCTGGTTATCAATATACAGTGTACTGTCTAGCATCACAATACCGCCAGCCAGTACATCAAAATATTTTTAAAATGACAGGAAGATTTCTGAACCGCTCTTGGGTTTCCAAAAACAGGATGTCGTCCCTGGCACGATTTTTAAAAAAATCAGGCCGCCACTAGCTGAAGATTTAGGAAACTATGGCTTTTGTTTTGTGCAAGAACACGGAGGTTAGTCTTTTGTTAAGTTGGACTTTGGAGGGTGTCGCGTTTGAAGGTTACGCAAGAGAGGGTCAACAACCGAAGTCACAAAGATTCTTCCATAAGAACATTAGAAACTAATTTTACAGAGTGTCCATTTCTCGCCATAGGTTTAAAGAACTCATTTTTCTCATTTTCTTATTTTTTAGACGTCCTCTGAAATACGTTAACGTAATATAAAATCATAGTGCGTGTGAAGATACAAATTGATTGACAATTAAAAATCAAATGGGCGGCATTTCTTCGTCAGATCAAAATTTTCCCGTTAAAATTAAGAAATTGCAAAATTGGTTTTATGACAACTAACCGAGTTATCCCAAAGGTGGTTTCACTGTAAAATTTAGTTTTGACCTAACCTAACCAACCCCATTAGTGTATCCTAATTAACCACTGTTTTGGCGCAAATAATTGGCACCTTTTATTTATCAGTGGCGAGACCCTGTTTTTCCTCCTTGACATGTATTTTTGCCAGTTCGCCGGCTCTTGGAGACAGGACCTACGCTAGTTCAGAAGCCGCCCCTGTGCTTTTTGTCACATTGCTTAACTAATTTTACACGGAAACACTTTTTCCCTCGCTTTTTCCCAACTAAACAGAGAGGCACAAAGTTTGGGGGCTAGAGAGGTCCCAAAATGGTCATATTAGAGGAAACGACTCAAAGAGTTGGAGACCCCTTTAATGCAAAGATAAAGACATGGAAGGCTGGCCCTTCAGAATGTTCTGATTTTGGAAATTTTTTAATTATTGACCCCGATTTTTCAAAATGGTGCCACAATTCTATCTTGATGAAATTCAGTATGCTGGGTATTGCACAAAATTGACTTTAATGAACGAACATATGTTTCTACTTTAAATCCCAAAGAAACGCAATTCAGAAAAAATAAAAAAAGACACAAATCGGTTATGGGGAAGGGTTTGATTTAAGTAGTTAGTTTTTCTGCTCATTCCACTGATGATTCTGATGAGTTTCTTTGTTGATGTGTGATTGTTTTGTGCGTTATTAGTTGAATATGAACCTTCGTGATCGTTTTATGCAATCATTTGAAAGCGCAACGCGAAACTTTGGAGTGTTACTTCAAATTGCCCACCAAGCTGGCGAAGGACGCACAAAATAAGAATAGTTGTCAAGGGATTTCGCGTGAAAAATAATACGTGTTGATTTTTTCCAAAAGTAAAGGCGCACAACTTTCGTTTTAATTATTGTACAACGAAGCACTTTGCCCAAACCGAAATACGCGCAATAAAAGCAGGACGCCGAGTTAGGGGATGATAACCATTTTTAAATTCATTTACGAGGTGCAAATTATGCAATTACTTCAAATCTGATTAAAAGCTTTTAAACTGTGTGTGACTATCACCATTGCTCCCTTCAATATTTATATTTAAGGCGTATTCGTATTCGCACTAATCTACACCAATCCATTTAGCAATGCCCTTATGTCGACTATACGGTTTTTGCTTTGTCACCACAAAATATTTCGCAATGACAGTGAAATTTAACTGTACTATTGACGCATCAGCTTTTTGTACGCCCTTCATTTAGAAAGATTGTTTTTTGTTTTATATTTCGAAAAAGGCCGAGAATGTGCAACATATTACCCGTTATCCAAACTTTCAAATACCACAAAGACCAAGCCCCAGTGCGAAATTATAAGCACGTTGACAGTAATTACACGTAAAGTAAGTCGTCATTATCCTTAACATAAATAGCGGGCATAGGGACGTAACCACAAAAGCCACAGCTTTATGTAACCTCAAACTTTATCGCATTTACTTTTGAGTTTGTATTATCGCCTTTGGACTGAGGTGGTGAAAAAAAAGGCTCGCTTGCATTAGATGTGCCTTGCATAAAATTGCACTTAAAAAAAATCTTAATTGTTTCATTATGCAGGTATCAAAAGGCTATGTCGACCTATTACCATTACCGTACAGAGCGATTTTGAATACTTAATACATGGGCGTCGGTATCGAGATGTAAAGATAAGGTAATAATACAGATTTAACTCGAGTTTTACATGCATTAAGGGCATTAACACAGTGTAGGTTGCACCGCCAACGATACTTATCTCGAAAAACTTGACATAAGCCAACCAATTTTATCCGACACATTTCAGCTATTAGTTTTTTTTTCCTTCCTTTCGGCATTAAAATTCCCAGTATCAGATTTTGAGTAGGAAATATTGACGTCTGGGGATTAAATTATCGAAAGAAGCGGTTGCGTCGCGCTTTAACTTTACAACTCCCCAGGTCACACTAATTCATACCTTGAAATGGATAACCGGTGAAGTACGGTGCCATATTTAATGCCATTGACTAAATCACCTTAAAACACAGCACTGATGATGGTTCACAACTCGAAAAATCGCGCTTATCGGAAATTCTCGAAAAACCTCTCGACATCCACTCGCAGGTATAAAAGAAAACTGAACGGCTCGATGACCGTTGACCACCGTGGTACAGATCGCCTCGAAAGTGCCTGAAAGAACCCGCCTTTACCACGGGGCCGCTTCTTTTGTTATTTGGTTTTGGAATGGTGATTGGTAGGATGGTTAAAAGGCGTGGTTTTGGTATAACAACCGTAACCTTTTGGTAACCATAAGCGCCTACCAATTCAGTTTCATTCAGAAAAGACCACCTTTAATGGGATTAGTTTAAAAAACGCGCCTCTGCGATTTTAGAATTAGAAAGTTCGCTTACCATCAACACCTTTCGGTGAGAAAAATCGGCAAATTGAGTCGATGGTTATTGAAAACAATTAGTGAGCGCTTTAAATTAGTTTCTGGCAGACTACTCTGCGCTCATGTAACTAAATTTCCTTAATGTGTTTTATAATAGTCCCGCATGTAGTATACTGACGCGGACATAAAACGTTCAGGAAAATTGCATTATTTATTAGCAAAGTTCTGTACTGTGTGTGGGATTTCGCCATTTCCATATTAAAAGGAAATTGGTAACATGTTTTGCATGTTAATTTATGCGAAACTTGTAATTTGAAGTTTGTGCACAATCACGCGCCCCTGCAACGGATTTACACGGTGTATAGCTATTTGGGGATGAAACTAAAAACGTCATTAGTATACGTTTCTGCTGTGTGACAGATCACTTTTTGTGTTTAGGGATGTAGCCCTCGAAAAACTCTTGGCAGCGTTTCCAAAAAATGGTTTTATTAAGATCAAAACCGATCATTTTTTAAAACATTAAAAATTATTGTGTTTGGCTTAAATTTACTGAGCAAGTGGGGAATCGTCCATAATCTGAATTATAATTATTCATACCTTTTTAAAGGGAAACCCAAAGTTGTGATTCTCGGTCGATTCAGAAGAAAAGCGAAGAAGAATGATACTCTTGTCGATATTCATTGCGTTTTGAAAGATTAATGTAAAAGGGCTCCACGAAAGCGTTTTAAAAAACACTTGAAACAGCCATGAATAACAATAACACTAAAGTCATGTGTGCCCCAACGTATGTACTTATCGATTAATCAATTAATCAGTTAATTAATTCACAAACCATTTGATTTTTTCAGTCTATTTCGACTCTATTTAGATATGTCGATTGTCAATTTTGAGACATCTGATGCTGGTAACAGAATTTTTTTCTAAAATCACCTTCCAAAATTTGTGCCCGTCAGATCTTCTCAACTCGATCTCGACTGTCATCTGTAATTTCGGAATTACGACGTTGACTCATTCCAGAATTTTAACCGTCGAAATCACGACTTCAATTACCTATGCTAGAATTTGGCTTCGATCCCCCAGTCAGAACTAAGCTCTTCGTTTCTCCCAACAATTACGAATTTAACCGAAGTTTACCTGGCGTCGTTACCTCCTCCTCCACCACTTCATAATTGACGTCAACATTTTAGCACAGAAGGCAAGCAATGGCACAATCCAATCTTCGAGCATGTTAAATTCGTTCAAAGTTGGAACATATAACTGATAGTATGGAAACTTGAGGAGTGGAGGTACTGGTACATGTTGAAATCACACAAAAACCACAAGTAAAGTAAAGGGTTTCGGCAGCAGAGCTGTCATCATCAGTAAACAACTGGCAACTGTTTCTGGTTTCTTCGGCTACCTTTCTAGACGTTTTGAAACACCTTGTGAAACCATTTCCAAAGCTTTCTATGACGTAGCCTTTTCGGTATTTTTTAGATCTAGTTTGGTTCGCTTATTTTATTTCTATACCCGTTATAAAGAACATAAAAAATCTTTAACAAAAGAAAAATCGTTCTTTGCCAAGCACATCCTCAATTGCGGCCATTCGTTTCGATATAGGCGACGGCATTTTTACAAAAAGGACTCGATCTGGACTTTTTGGAAGTAAACGCCGTTCACAAACGATGTAGAGAGTTCTCAATTGTCCTTGAACGTTCTTTAAGAACTTGCAACTCCAATTTTATCTTAAGATAATGTTTCATTTAAAAATACTTGGAAAGTTTTAACTAGTTACAGTCGCCTGTCGAAACATAAATTTCTTAAAATTAAACGGACATGGGGGAGGTTTAGAATACTTTCAAAATTCAACCCAATTCAAGCCACAGCTCGCTCACAGAAGTTGTTAGGACTTTTTTAGGTTTTTTTGGACTTCATTCGGAGCTTGCTAAACCACTAGAGTTTAAAAACTCTAGTCTCTAGATTCCTTCCGTCAGCCTTTTCAAATCTTTGGAGATCAGGAAAAGACGTCTAATGCTTTTGAGGGTCTTTGATTGCTCCAACACCTTCAACCGCCACTTATAAGTCGCTTGGAAAAACAACCCAATTTTTAATTATAGACTCAACCCGATTAATTACCCAGCGGAACTACACATTTGAAATAGACAATTTACTTGAAAAACTTCTTTCCGCTAGATAAATAAACAAAATCGAGGGACAGTTCTATAATACTACTTTCTCAAAAGAAAAAAATTACAATAATAATCCGGCGTCGGGATGTGACGAGTGACGACCCCATCGCCCATCATCTCTTGGTGATGTAATCAGATACGCAGGGCAAGGATTAGCATGCGGTAGAGAGGTCTCACTCCAACGTGACTCAATTTTGTCCTTTGCCGTTTCATACACATTTTATCGCGTCGTTCACAAACTACCCACGTAGATTACAAAATTTTAAATCTTATACGTCAGTTTGCAGTGCTATTTTCTGTTTTATCATTTAATTTATTGTGGTATTTTTAGTTTTCAATGGAATTTTACGTCTGTAACCGAGGGGAATTAATCGAAGGTTGCGCCTTAGTTAATGATAATTTCTCCCAATATTGTTCCAGTTTTTCTCGAGTAATTCTCAAGCTTTTTTTAAGTTCCTTTCGAGCGCCTATATCAGATTAAATCTAGGCTCATGGTACAAATTGCAAGATTCATCCAAACTTCAATCTCGAACCTTCAAGATTCGAAAATCAAGATTCAAATCCAGTTTTCATTCAATCGTCCAAGTATAAGGCAACAATGTCAGCAAATCATAATTTAAATTCAAGATTCCAATTTATAAAGTTAAAAATGTTTTTTGCGCGATCGGTCATTTCTGACTATTTACCATGGGTGTTTCCATGACAGTAGGTAGAATTTACCAGTTGCTATGATTACGACGACGTCAAAATTACTTACCGATCTAAAAACAGAACAGCAAAAATACTTACCGACGCCTTTTTAAAAATCAACAGTCTTACATTACATTTAATCTTTAATTATTGTTAGGTACATTAAACGTACAATTTGTGCTGTTGTTTCCTATAGCAAGACGCTCATAAAGTCATAAAGGAAGTTCAAAGCTAGTAAACTACATCAGACACATGCACATTTTTATGAAATTATTAACTTCAATTTTGACAAATAAACTGGTTACCTAGTGATATACACCATACCACTTCGATCATTTCGATTTATTCTGCTCGTTAATTTCTTAGTGCATATTTATATTGGTTGCATAAATTTAATTTCGATCGCGCAAAAAATGTTATAAGCACGTCGAACGTTAAGGGTTACCGTTCTCAGACAATAATTGGAGTCGTCGCTTCGCTCCTCCTCCAAACAATTGTCTTCGAACGGTAAAAATCCCTTACCGTTCTCCATACTTAATATACTATTAATTCACACCTTATGATTTATGTATTATCTAAACTTCAAGCAACTTTAAGCATCAATCAAAACGTCAAAAATGGACAGTTTTTTGATACTTTGACACGAGTGGGCTTGTGCGATTCTTCCCAAAAGCTTTTCAGCTCTTCCTTTTATGTCTAAGGATATGTGTACCAAATTTGTGTTCAATCCGTTCAGCCGTTTGATCGCAAAAGAGAGTACAGACAGCCAGGCCGACAGACATCATCGAAATTTTCTTTGATTCGGATTCCTGGTGCTTCAAGAGATGTACCTCCGTCAAAAAATGGGAGACATTATTTACCCCGATGCTTTACTAACATGCGGGTGGTAAAAACACGCAATAATATCATTGATCTGATCCGAAAATTTTAAAAAATAGTTAGAAACTGAGAAATTCAAATAATCTGATGGATCAGAGAAATCTCTACAATTTCAAGCATTCTAAGAACCCAAGAGGAAGATTTTGAAAATTTTGGAGAATATAAACATTAAAAAATGATCAAAGTCCTCGTGTGAGATCGAAGGGACTTCAGCGCATTTTTGTGTGGCAGATCAGTGTTTTATTAGCCAATATTGACTCCACCATCAATAAGATCTTGCCGAAAGCTACCACGTTCACTTTGTCGGTACCATTTTCTCACTTACCGTGCACTCGCAATTCGCGTTTGAAGTTTTGACTCCACCATCAGTAAAATCCTTTGGGGGTTACCATAAATTCCCTTTGTCGACACCCACTTCTGATCACCCGCAACAATTCGGATTTGAAGTTTCGACTCCACCATCAGTAAGATCTCGTCGGGAGTTACCACATTCCCTTTGTCGATACACAGTTCCGACGTCCCGTTCATTCGTAATTCACATTTTGGTAGATTTCGCTAAAATGCCGGCATAAAATCGTATTAAACTTTTGGGTACTTCACATAGCTCGACCTTCTATTAGTGACACGAGAAAGAGAGACCGCGATTCGCGCTGTAAGAAACTTTTGGGCGCCCAAAGTCGACTACCCCTCGAAGCGCGCCGCGCAAAAGGTGGTTTATTTCGCCCCTAGGAAAAAAAACTAAATTTCGCCACGCAGGAGTTGTGCGCGTTGACAAGATCTTCCCGACGACACCAATTTGAAAACAATCGGAGAAAAACTGTAGAAGAAGATAGATAAAAACTGAAAAATCTCCAGGTTAGTATAATACGCTCGGGGATGGCGTCAGTCGTTGTATGGACCAATTTTTCTATGCCAGCCATCGGTCGAATCACTACAAATCTCCCCCCCATTAACGGGCTTTTACGATTTTTGGCTTTTTTTTACGGGCTACGTTTTAAGCGTAGATTTTACAAAGCCAGCCAAAAGCAAAAATTTAAATTTTTACAACAAAATTTTGCAAAAATGCGCTA